CCCCAAAACCCCAAAACCCCAAAACCCCATCAATACTCAATATAAGAAATGATTGAAGTTGAATAGATTTATTTTAAACTATAATTTGAGCTATATTTTAAATCATACTTAATAACCCAGATCCTATAGTGATTGAGATCTACCGAGTTTAATCTAATAAAAATTAAATATATTGGACCTTTTTCTAAGTTATGGAAAAAGAATTTCACTTTATTTTACCTTGACCGATTTCACAAACTGCTGAATTTTTATCAAGCAAGCTTGATAGATTTAATCTAACTTAAATTATCAAGTTTCTTATATAATCACATTGTGTGTAGTCTTGTTCGAATGAATTTATAAGTTACTAAATTTATCCTAATCTCATTTTTATAACTAATTCCTCAAGCTAGGCTTAGTCTAATGCTTAAGAATTAATTATGTTTATAAGTATATTTTACTCATCTAATAGGTACCAAAGGCAGAGAGTGATTATAGCAACTGGAAAATAGGAACAATTTAGTACCCTAATATCAATATACTCCAGAGTTATATTTGAATTCAAAATATCAAGAATCTTAATTAGCGATTAATCTAATTTCAACCTTAAATGACCTTCTATTTTATAAAGTTGATCGTATTGGTTTAATAATATTTGGCATTAATCGTATATATTTTAATGAGGTATTATAAATTCCAATGCCATCAGAATTTCTACTTCCATATCCACTATTGATTAAGTGTCATATCTTACGCGTTTACTTAGTCTGCTCAAAGAGATTGCCTTTACATCCCAATACTTTGAGGAAATATAGAAAGCTGTTGCTCCAATTACAGGTATAAAATCTATGAATCTTTGATAATCTCTTTGATAATGATCAGATAAAAAAAAGTATTCCACAATCAATAATGCAGTTTAAATTGTTTAGAGCTGCTCATTTGGTCTTAAAAGCCTGATGATAGAATCGTAAGCTTTTTATCTGTAAAGTAAAAATTATCATTACTGAAAATCATTCATTTTCTCCCGGGCTTAATGATAGAGATTAGAATGATAGTGGAGAGACTCTTGATTTTTCGTTTTAAGTTGATTTTCGCATTGATATATCTCATAATATTCAATAGCATCAATTGTAAAATTTTACTTCGACTTCCATACATCCTAATCTATTTCAATCTCACAGTCGAAGCTGTCCTCTGATATCACAGAATCCAACATTTATTGAGTTAGAAGTATATAATTTGAGGATCTTATTTATTTCAGAGTTTAAGGATTGACATCCTCTACCTCCTCAGGTTCATACTATTCATTACTCTAATATTTCTCATCAATTATATTTTAACTTTTTATGAGATGACAGGAGGAGAAAATCAAGAGCTAATTTTTATTTTGTTAAAAATCCATTTTATTTGTATCTTTTGACTACTTCTGTTGTATATTATGTTGGAGTTGACTGTAATTTGGAGGATTTTGGATTTATTATTTAGAGTGAATATCAAAGCTATATAGCTAGTCAAATTTTATCAACTAATTATTAATATTCTCGTCCATGTCATCCGAATACTCAGAGTAGACACTCGGGCAGCTTTCTCGAAAGTGCTAAGCCAAGGGCTAGCCTAGAAGTTCTAGAGTGCTGATAGCTTTCTCCTGATTTATTTATCTATGAATTTCAGGTTTGCCTGGTTTGGTGGAATATTTGCAGTGTGAGAAATCAATAATCATAATCTAGATATATTCTCGTAGATTTAATTTTCATATATAAATTGAGATGCTAACTTATAAGAAGTATGAGCGCAATTAAAGACTGTGGGGTTTTGGGGTTTTGGGGG